ATTAGACAAAGGCGCTATAAACATACATGGGAGACAAGATAGCCTCTTCAACAAATAATGCTGGGAAAACTGGGAATCCATAGGTAGCAGAATGAAATTAGACCCCTATCTCTCACCCTGCACAAAACTCAACTCAAAGTGCATCAAGGACCTAGGCATTAGACCAGAGACCCTGCATTGACTAGGAAAAAAGTAGGCCCAACTCTCTATCTTGTTGGCTTAGGAGCAGACTCCTCAACAAGACTCCTAAAGTGTAAGAAGTAAACTTAAGAATCCATAAATGGGGGCCACAATTGTAGCTCAGTGACGAGCACTTGCCTAGCACACGTGAGGCACTGGGTTCCATCCTTAGCACCACATAAAAATAGATAAAGGTATAAAAAATACAATAACACATTTTAAAAATGAATCAATAAATAGCTAAAAAACTACTTCACAGCAAAGGAAATAAGAACGTGAAGAGAGAGCCTACAGAATGGGAGAAATCTTTGCCACCTGCACCTCAGATAGAGCATTAATCTCCAGGATATATAAAGAACTCAAAAAACTTAACACCAAAACCCCAAATAACCCAGTCACTAAACAGGCAAAGGAACTGAACAGGCACTTCACAGAAGAAATATTACTGGTCAACAAATATATGAAAAAATGTTCAATATCTCTAGTAATTAGAGAAATTCAAATTAAAACTACACTGAGATTCCATCTTACTCTAGTCAGAATGGCAATTATCAAGAATGCAAGTAACAATAAATATTGGTGAGGATGTGGAGAGAAAGGTACACTCACATACTGCTGGTGGGACTGCAAATTGGCACAACCACTCTGGTAAACAGCACGGAGATTCCTCAGAAAACTGGGAACTGAACCACCAGTTGACCCAGCTATCCCACTCCGTGGGGAGCAGAGCTCCCAGCTCCCATGAACGTGGAACATGAGCCAGAACACTCCTTTGTCTGTTTAGGTCACCAAGATCCTGGAACTGTGTGTTACCTCAGCCTTCCAAAGCCTGTCCTGACCCACAGAGGTGCCACATCTGTGACGAGAGTTAACTGGCTCTCCATTGTGGCTTAGCTACGAGGAATGGACCTGGTGGAGTGGTGGACTGACAGGTCAGCTACTTTAACCTGGGTGGGGTGTCAGGCGTCCCAGGACACGGATCCCTCTAGGAGGCTCTGAGGATCTGTGCATCCACGTTAACCACATGCCTGCTATGCGCAACAGGAATTCTTTGATAAAGACAAATGCTGAGTCCCGAACTATACCGTGCACTCATTTTATCAATTAAAAATGGGTTCAAATTGGGGTCCAGATGACATTTTAATTCTGAGACCTGCAGACAGTCACCAGTGATGGCATTACGGGGGAAATAACAGAAAGCCAAGCTACAAGGATATTTATCTGACCTGGAAAAAAGGCCAACTGCTCAACATTTACCTGACTAATGCTCAGGTCTCTGGATTCCGGAGTCTGTTAACAGGCCACGGCTCAGGGTACCGCAGCACGCAAGCTCCAGCTCACCCACAATCCATCCACCCACTGGCTTTGGTGTGCACCCCAGTGCTCCATGCAGACCATGGAGTCACCCTGAAGCTGTCCAGTCAAGGGGAAGATTCTGATGCGGCTGTATTTTCTGGGCCAGTTTAGAATCAAAGCACTCCAGAAATCGTGCCCTCAGGGTCTCAGGCCCAGACGGGGCTGCCCGAGTCTGACCTTAACCGAGTTCATCCGTGGCCTCTGCTGGGCCTTAAATGTCCTGCACCCGACTTAGTCCTCCTGACAACGGGAAGAATTGCTCAGACGTCCTGGGCAACAGCCCAAGTGGACTAAAGGGAAGGGGGTACATCTTAGCCCAGAGGCAGAGGAAGAGGGGTCACAGCACAATCACTGTCCAACCAGCCAGTGACAAGTTAAAGGGCAGCACAGGCTGGAGAGGACCCCCTGTCCCGGGGGAACAGGGCAGTCCATCTGGTCACTAGCCAGGCAGGGCACTTGCACAGGCCGTCATCACTGGGCCAGGGCCAACCTGCCTCCCTGAGTGCGGACATTTGCTGATCAAGTTACTGGGGCACAAGCAGCCACTGCTCCAGTGACACCGGATTCACAGAGGAAAGCCCACTGCTACTGGCACTCAGTCCCAGGACCTGCAGGGACGAGTCCCCCCTGGTCTGGAGGTAAGGGAGGGTGGAGGGAGGCAGGAGGCCCTGGATGGCCCTCTGCAAAGGGAACCTGCTCAACGGCCCCATGCAGACAGGACGGGCCCAGCGCTCCATGCCTTCTTCCTAGGTCACTCAACGCCAGGAGCGCCCTCCGCTCTCCAGGCCTGAGCTCAGTCCCCACCCTGTGCTCTCAGGGCTGGTGTTCATGTTGGACTTGTTTCATCTTAAACAAGGTTTGTGTAACTGCAGGACTCGGGGAGGTGCAGGGTCAGAAGGGAGGTGCATCTAGCTCGAGGGCGTGTGGCAGGCTGAAGGGTGCCCCAGGCCGTCTCCATCCTCAACCCCGTCACATTCCCTGGCAACAGGGACTTAGCAGCCATGACTCAAAGAAGGGACCTGAGATGGGAGGTGAGCTGGAGGGGCTCACTGCCATCAAAAGGAGGCGAGAAGCAGAGGTGACAACAAGGACACAGGCAGAGGTCACAGTGACATGACTGCAGTCCTGGAAGACAGAAGAGGGCCACGAGCCAAAACTGTAGAACAGCCAGACTCTCTCCTGGGGCCTCAGAAGGAACCCCCCCTACCAACACTGCAATTTTAGCCCCATCAGACCGATTCTGGACTTGTGACCTCTGTGACTGTAAGATGAATTTGTTCCTTCAGGCCCCTGTGTTTGTTATTTGTTATAGCAGCAATAGGAAGCTCATACACGACCCTAGATCCTCCACTGTCTGAATCCCCTCAGTGCAGCCTTGTGCTGGATGGAGGTGCCTCAGCCAGATGCAGACAGGGTACGCTCAATGAGGAGGGTGTCAGGTAAGACCTTTGCTAAATGAGAAAATCTTACGATGATAATGTGCTATGTAGGCTGACTTCTGTTTTATGACATTTTTAGGCATTCTGGATGGGTCCCAAGCTTTGTATGAACCTACAAGTCATTAGGTTAAATCAATATGTAATTTTCCGTCCTCTTTTCAAAAGAATTATTGTACTCCTTGCTACGAACAAGTTTTGTACGTGTTTGGGTTCAGTTCCACTGTTTGTTCTTCACCAGAAAATTGAAGCATAGATTTATTCTCAACCTGAGAGAATCTGCTTTAAAAACCATTCCTGCTGAAACCCAGCAGACCTCTAGGGGGTCAGATTCCTAGCATTTTAACCCAGAGATCCATGCCCAAGTCGATGAATCAGCCAGTGACAGAGGCTGTCCCTGTGGAATTCCAAGGGCAGGCAGTGGGTCAAACTCTTGCTATATGACAGACGTCCGAGGAAATCCTGCCAAGGTCCCCCTGGAGAGAGACGTGGGAAATCCACTCGGACCTGGCCCCTGTTTTGCCCATGGGACAGGACAGTGGTCTCCGGCTGCGTCCCACTGCCCCCGGCATCAGCATTGCTGCAGGCTGGTTAAGCCACACTGCAGGTCTCAGCCCTGGAGCTGGGGATCAGCAGGTCTGAGGTGGAGCCCGAGAACCTGCAATTTTAGCTGGGGGTGTAGCTTAGTGGCAGCCTGGTGTGTGCAAAACCCTGTTTGATTCCCAGCATCACAAAAAGGAAGAAAAGAATATGCATGTCATCACGTCTGCCAAGCCCCAGGGGATGCTGATGGGCCAGGTGGAGGCCACTGCCGCAGTCTGGCTGGGCCCAAATCACGAGCCACTCAAGCAGGAACAAACTTTATTTCCGAACTCCCGCAAACGCCACCCACGTGGCTTTCTCCGGGACACACCACACACCAACCGGAACTCCCTCCACCGGAACTTCACCCACCCAGGCGAACTCTCCAGGAATCCCCGCGAGAACTCGACGGGAACTCCGCGAGAACTCAAAAGTACTGGCAAAATGCTAGGCGCCATCCCAACTCGGCTGTGGCTCTCAGCAGGCCACACCTGAAGACCCACCACTGTCCCCCAGGGATCAGGCTCATACAGTCTCAGCTCCTTTCCTGAGGAGGCTCATGGCTCCACCTCATGGGATCGGACTGCCCCTGCCCTGCCACCTAATGCGCTGACCTGCTGCCTGAGCCCGGCTCCCCAGCTCAGCCGTGGACCAGAGCATCCAGAGAGCCCCCGACCCCTCAAGGCCCAGGCCTCGCTCCAGAGCAGTGAAATCAGAATGGGCCGGGAGGCGGGGGGCAGTGGATCCCAAGGCTCCAGGTGGCCCAAGTGCAGCCAAGCAAACAGGCGGGTGGGCAAGGAGCTGCTGCTGCAGCAGATCATGAATAGGCTTCCACGCCAGACCCAGCCCATGCTGTCCTGTCCAGTGCTGGCCCCTCATACGGTGACAAGAAGAGGTGCTCAAGAGCTGCCTGCTCGACCAGGGTATACCCCTCTACCAGTGGGGCTGTGGGTGCACCTCCCCTCAGGGCACTGGGACCAACCCCTGGAGCAAGCCAGGTCACATGCATCACTGTCCTCTTGATGGGGTGACCCTACGATAAAGAAAGCCCCCAAGCAAGTGCTCGCCCCGTGGCGCAGCCAGGTGAATAGCGCAGCTGCGGATGCAAATGAGAAAGGCCACTGTCCAGGACAGCGCCCTGTAAACTGGACCCACAGGCCAACCCCAGCTGCCACCTGGGCATCCGCACTGTCCAGAGTGTCCCTGCCACCGTGGCGGGTAGGGGGCCTGTGGCAGAAACATGTGGTCACAGAGCCAAAGCGTCTGCACTTGGCCCTTCCTGGAGCTGTTGCTGCCCCCGCCCTGGGAGGGACAGCAGTGGCTACCTAGGGTGGCCAGAGCCAGGTGACTATTTTCTCTTTTCTATTTTTTCTTATTTTGGCCAACTTTCTTTAGAAAGCATGTTTTCGGGCAGCGGGAGGGTGGCTGGCCCTGTGTGGGACGTACCTTGTTCCCGATGGCCTTCTTGGGTGGGAAGCTGTAGGCCCGCACCTGGGGGAACCTGCTCTGCAGCTTGTGGTGCAGGCTCCGGAACTCCGTGTATCTCCGGTAGACGTTCCACTCGTCGTCCTTTATCCGGATGTAGACCTGCCAAGGAAAGCAAGACGAGACATGGACTCCTCGCTCTCACTACGCTCTGCACCAGGGGCAGGGTTTCACAGCACGCCACCCAGGAAAACCAGCTCTGCGAGAGCAGGGCCAAGTCTGTGTCACCTCCATGGGGTGCCACGCGCATGCCACAGAGCAGGGTCTCGGTGGCACTGGCTGAACAATCAGGCACATGAAAGACAGGCAAAGACATCACACTGTGTGCCATTTCCCCAACGGCAGCAGAGACCACAGTGCACTTAGCAGCAGACACTTCCTCATTGTCCCGTGGGTGCTGCTGCACCAACAGGCTGCTGGGAACAGCGAGGCCACCTCACTGGCCACCTTCTTCCCATCCGCACAACCAAGCTGAGAGCAGCAGGTCACCCAGCAACTGGAGGGGCCATGCAGACCTCCGCAGGGAGGAGCTGGGCTTGGATTTGGGATTGACACCAGAGTCGAGATCTGCTCGACAGCTCGGAGGAAAGGTCACCTCCAGATGGGATGAGCACCCCAGGACATAAAACTTCCTTATTTTAATTAAATTGTGACTTCCCAGTGAAAGCTGTGGGGGCACCAATGCAAGGGCTCCTTCATCAGCATTGATTGGCCCCAGCATCTCCCAGGGACACATGGCAACCACATCCCAGAGAGCAACGCACTAAGAAATTACCTGAGTCGAAACAGGCCAGGGAGTAAAATCCCCAGTGAGAAATGGCTGTTGTCATTTGCAACCAGTGGATGTCAATACACGTGTTAGGAACATCTTTAACCATAAAAATAGACATCTCTGATGTGAGTGATGAATTCTGCCTCTAGGTGAAACCACCTGTGAACCCCAAATGTGGACAACATGTCCTTGAACATCAGTCAGGGTCTCTTACAATATATCCCTGGGAACACGGGCAAGGAAAGTGTGTGCCAAAAACTTCAATTAACGGGTAGAAGTTTCCAGTGGAATTAGATGGAGAAACAGGAGGCCTATCAAGTTACAGAAGTCCCCAAGCTAAGAGAGACAGTAAACATACTGGTGACAGACACCAAGTGCTCTCGACTGGCCTGAGGGATCTAATTCAACGTGATGAAATTCTACAGATCAACATGGGGTCCTATCACCACAGGAGGGCGCAGCACAGCAGAGACCTGGGGAACAGAGGAGGGCTCGGTGCTCCAGCTAAATGCACCAGGAGGAGGGCCACCAGGAAAAGCCCACGTGACCTGTGTCCTCATTAAAAGACATGAACTTCCAGAATAGAGGAGTTGATGGCTCGGCTCCATTCTAAATCACCAGTCCTACTTGATGGGTTTGCTTGCCACCTATTATGAGATGATCTTTGTTCAGAAAGGCCCAGATCACATGCCACTCAAACTGTGGTCCCTGGACCAGCAGCACTGGCATCAATGGGAAGATGTCAAAAATGCAGAATCTTGGGCTCCACCCCAGACAAACTGACTCAAGACCTGCACTTCAACAGGAACTCCCAGTGGATCATTCACACTTTGAACACTTTGAGAGGCACTAGGCCCGAGAAGGTGATATTCAAATAATCAGAAGAAAGATGGCGACCAGGAGGATGACAACACCCAGGAACCGGGGAAGCAGGTGAGCTCTCCCAATCCCTGGAAAGGCTGCCACGGCAAAGAGGAGAGACCCGCTAAACGTGTCCAGGGGGTTTCAGGAAACAGACTTTCAGCAGGTGGAGAAGACAAGACCAATTTTAGGAGGAAGGAATTTCTAGCAGCCAAAGCTGCCCGAAGGGAAAAGGTATGTGTTAAAGGTTTCTTGTCTTGGTTGTGCACACAGTGGATGGCGACTGGCGGGATGGATATTCTATTTATATACTGAGCCCCAAAAGCACCTGGAAGGCTAGGTTAGTTATTGAGATCTGGACCTGAGATTTCCTCAATCCACAAGTGACATATAAATCAGTTAAATAAACCCAGAAGAGCTCAAGGGACTTTAGTGCATTACTCTCGAGTGACAGCAAGTGCCAGTTACCCATCTAGTACCCACTTCCCCCTGATGTTCTTGGGGATAGCAATGTATTCAGCTAAAAAAAGAGAAAAAAACTTTCAAACTAATTTTTTTTTTTATGTCTCCCTTACAGGTAAGAGTGGCTAATGAACTAAGAGCAAAAATCAGTGGGAGCTTCTAAGCTATATAAGAAAGTTCTCTAGAGAGATCTGTCTCAGCTACCAAGTATCATTTTGCTGTTCTATCTTTTTTTTCCCTCAAACACAGATGTGATGACTGGTACTCCAGGAGCCATCTTGTGATCATGAGGTGATCTTGAGAAACAGGAAGGACTCTGGGTCTCTGAGGAGAGTCATCCCACCAATTATTAATTAATCAAAATAAAAAATTTTAAAGATTTTTTTTAGTTGTCGATGGACCTTTATTTTACTTATATGTAGTGCTGAGAATCGAACCCAGTGCTTCACACATGCCAGGCAATTGCTTTTCCACTGAGCCACAACCCCAGTGCCACTCCCGAAATTTGTTTCAACAACAGAGAAATAGTCCTTAATTGTTCAGGCTAATGTCTTAGGGGTCTTTGTACTAACAGCTGAATGCAATTCTGATCTGATACGTTTTTAAAGAGACCATATCAGCTTGGGTATATTCTTATAGAAGCCCAAACACCCCCTAGAGTGTGAAAAATTCACACTTGTTGGATCATCACACATAGCGCAAATTATTCAGATCAGAGTAAGCAAACTATGGTTCACAGGCCAAGTGCAGTCACGTCCACTTGTCTGCCTGCCGCCTATAGCTGCTTTGAAACTGCAGTGGGGCCTGGGTGGCTGCCCAGAGACCACACAGCTGGCAACGCTCCAACCATTTACTTTCTGGCTTTTCCAAGAAAGTTTGATTACTTCTGGTCTAGCTGTTCAGGAAGTCCTCATTATGGTTATTTCTCCTCAAATCCATTCAAAATCCAGTGTGGAGAGGGTAGGCCCTTTCCAAACCTCACCACCGAGACCCAGGGATACCCCGTGTACAGGGGCTTCCTGGGTGATCCCAATGAGTGGTCCCTTGGGGAGGCCCTGATGTAAGGCCCCGGCTCAGGTGTGGGATGGATGAGCCCGTCACCTCCCTGCCCGTCACCTCCTTGTCTGTACAGGAGCAGGAAGCAGCACCTCCCTCTGCAGTGGTTTGAGGACCATGCAGGTCTACAGGTGACGCAGCTGTGCCTGGGGTCATGCAGACCCCTTTGCAGACGAGCTGGCAGTGAGGAGGCTGAGGCCCAGGGCTGGACTTGGTTAGCCTAGCTGAACCAAAGGGCATGCCCAGGCCCGACAGCACCAGGGCATGCGGCTTCCTCATGTCAGGCTGTGACTCTAGCAAGGACACTCGGGTGGCAAATCAGGAGCACGAGTCCACCAGCCCTCTCCAGGCCCTCGCACCTGACAGGGACTCAGAGCAACTACCGTGCGCGGGGACCAAGCAGTGGGACGAATGGATGCAGGGTCACCTGCAAGGATGGGAGCTACTGTGATCTTCGAATGGTGGATGCCAACCCACACCTTGGAGCCTCCCAAGCACAACGGTAAACATGGCCCTTGATGTGTGTGGTAAACTCTGCTGGCATTTTTCATTTTTCATAAGGTGCATTTAAGAGCCAGCTGTTCACTGCCCTGCTGCCCGCTGGGCCCTCCCAGGGACACTCCTCTGCTGCCCACGTCCCTCCTTCCTCTCCTACTCACACACCACTCCTGGGTCTGCATGTTTCGTTTTTAGGATGACACCACCCAAGTCTGGCGCTTTGCTGACTGCCCATACGTGTCTGCACCAGGATCTGTCCTGTAACCTGCTCCTCCTTCCCCAGAGCCTGGTCCCTCCCAGGCAGACCCCCAGATGTTGACCCCAGATGCACATCAACTTAGACCAGTTCTGTTCTCGCCCTCCACATCCAAGGACCCAAAGACGGGCCTGCTGCTTCCACCTCTGAGCCCCTCCAGAGTCTCCCACTCTCTGGACCACGCCCAACCTCCAGCTGTCCTCTGGACTCCCACGTTGCCCTCCAGGCCCTGCGCATGTCCCCTGCTCAGACTCCTTCAAGCACTCTCCGTGAGGGATGGTCCTGCTGGTGGCAAGCCTCGGGGAGAGTGCACACAGCTTCTGTGGGCTTGGAAGATTCTGGCACCACCTCATCTCATTTTGGCCCCGCCTCTTGCTTTGGCAAACCTAGATGGTGCCAAGTGGCCTGCATTTCCTATAAGACTCTTTGATTTCTTTTTTTTTTTTTTTTTACTGGGATTATAAGCCAGGGGGGCTTAGCTACTGAGTAACATCTGCAGCCCTTTTTTTAATGTTTTGAGACAGGGCCTTGCCTAGCTGCTGAGGCTGGTTTCAAACTTGCAATCCTCCTGCCTTAGCTTCCCTGAGTTGCAGGGATTGCAGGCATGAGCCACCACACCTGGCTAATGTCTTAAATTCTTGAAATGTCTTTAAAACCAGAACGATGCCTAACTTGCCTGCATTTCTGTTGAACATCCTATGAGATGCTCGGGTCAGATCAACTATCCTGGAGACGGCAGTGCTTGGCCTTCCAAGCTCCTCCTAGGTGCATCCCCTCTATGGGGACAGCAGATGTTCAAGGACTCTGAATTTCAGTCATCTGGCACTAGAAAGGACCTTGGAGACTGCGTAACAGGGCTGGTGTGACAAACATCCCCATCCACCCCATGCTGTCCACTTGAGAAGGGTGCCAAGGTGGGTTTGGGTGGTGCTGCCACCTGGACTCAGGAGAAAACGTGGAATGGAACCACCATTTGACCCAGCTATCCCACTTCTCAGTTTATACCCAGAGGACTTACAATCAGCATATTTCAGTGACACAGCCATATCATGGTCTATAGCAGCTCCATGCACAATAAACTATGGAACCAACCTGGGTGCCCTTCAGCAGATGAATGGATGAACAATGCCATTTCAAATCTTAATAAAACATATAGCTCTTGGCTGCAGACCAGCGCCACCTAGGGAGCACCTGTGA